TTTTTTTCCATGTCATTAGTTAAGAAAAAAAAAGAATTGATTTGCTGGCATTTTAACGTGCCACCTGTCATTTAACTGACGGAAGGACGGTTTTGATACTGAAAATGAAAGTTTAAAGATAATTTTGGTACTTTTTAAAGGTGAGGGACAATTTTGGTACCAAAGTGACAAGTTGAGGGACCAAAATGGTACTTAAACCTTTAAACTAAACTAAACACCTTTTTTTTTTTTTTTTTAACGCAACTCTTTATAATGTTTTGTTTTGAAACAAAAGAATAAAAATAATTAAATTAATTAATTTTATAATATAAATTGTAGAAACAAAATTCCTATGAATAACATAAACAAATAAATTCTATTCTTGTCAAGAATCTCCTCAAGGATCTTATCCCACAAATTGCAAAGATGGGGATGGAGATGGGGAGGCACTCCTCAACTATGTAGAGCCCCATTGTCATCCCTAATAGTATGGCAGATGCTTATTTTTTCCTTTTTTTTTTTCTTCTCATTTTCACAACTTTTTCTCTAATTTTTAATTAGATAGAAACAATGTATAATCCTATTTTAATAAGACAAATAATATAAGAGATTATTTATTCTTTTTTTTTTTTCAAACACTTGATGAGTTCTTAATTTTTTATTGAATTTAGACACAAGTGACATACTGTTATCAAAATATGATAAAATTTATTTCATTTGTCTATCATATCATTAGTTGACTAATTTCTATAACAATAAGAATAAAATTGTTTTGGAGCAATAACGATCTAAATCAAGATGATGTCTTGTAATGGTGATCTAGACCCATCTTCGCACAATAAAACACATGAAAGAAAATGCATGCCTTGGTACAATGAATGATCAGCTCTGAAACCTTTCTTGCATATAGCAAGGCACCATCCCAACATGATTTTTCCCATGTTGAGCTTTCCTAATGGTTTTACGGACAATAATCTAACTAATAACAAGGGACAAGGGACTTTCCCCTTCTAGACAATACAAAACAGAACATCACTATGTCAACTACGTATAGCTATAGACACGTAATAAGTGTTCACACCCTAATTACACGATAACATGCATTGGTAAGAACAATGTGTTGGTTGTTTCAACAGATTCACCAAATGCAGTCCAAGTTGAATGGTTGCTCCTGCTGAGGTTGCGGCAGTACTGTGGAAGGAGAAGAAGAAGGTTGGAAACCTGAACCTAAACTGCTTCCCAATGCCGGAATTCCTTGTGGTAGAAGCGAAGAATATTCCATGCTCGTTGTACCATTAAGAAGATGATCTCTTGGTTGATTATAAGTACCCCTAAGCTGCAATGCCTTGAGAAGCCAAGAATTCATGGAAACATTGGAACTTAGCAAGCTCGAAGGCCATGAGAGTGTTGGAAGCTGGGTAGCCGCCAAATCCATGTTCATGATGATGTTACCATTGTTATCACTGTTGTAACTGTTTGTTGTAAGATTACTGAATCCACTTGTGGAATTGGCAATGCTAGGAAACTCAATGTCTCCGAATTCATTCACAATTGAATTTGTATCACATGGAGAGCCCGGAGATAGCTGTGAGGATGAGGATTGCTGTGGTTTTTTTGCTGCTGCGCTCTTTTGAAATACCCTACAAACTACCCATTCCTCCTGTAAATTTAATATAAAAAAGAACAAAATCCAATGAGAAACTAATTTGAGGTTTGTGACCTTTTGATCTTATAAAATTCATGTGTCCTTAAAAATTTTAGCAAAAGTCACCAATACTAGCTAATTGCTTATGGGCTATTGGCTTAGTATATAAAGAAATTCTTTCATATAACAAGAATACTATCTCAACAATATTTTTATTTACTAATGTAATAATAAATAAATAAAAGTAGTTCTTCCTTATAATTAATTATAACAATTTACTAATTATTTAATTGTAAGTGATAAGCACATTGCTTGATATGTCATCACACTGATAAATAGAGATATCATTAACATAGTATCTCCAATATATAACACCACATAATCAAATATGACACCATATCATTCAAAAGCATATTAGTTACCTTTGCGGTTTTGAAAGGGTGTTTGGTTTCGAGCCTGTACTCATGCATAACCCAATTGCTTTTCTCACCCTTGGGAGCTCTTCCTCTATAGAAAACTAGGGTTTTCTTCATACCAACAAGCACACCAGCCCGAAAGATTTCCTTGTCCTTCCCTGTGGTTTTCCAATAGCCTGCTTCAGTGGCTCGGTTGGTTCGGAGTCCAGTTGGGTATTTTCTATCTTTCATACTGAAGAAATACCATTCTTTCTCCCCCATTGATGCCTTTTCTGCAACATTTAATTTCACATAATTAATTAATTGGCTTCAACCTCCTCTCCTATATATATATATATATATTCTTCAACCTTCGCTGGGATTTTTTCTAATTAACTAATTGCTAATTCTTAACTATATATATAGCAAATGTAGAAATTTTCCAAATTAATATCTTTACTAAAAACTCTAATGCCCTAAGCATGTAAAGTATGATCATGCTGAGTTCAAACCTCAATGGGTCAATATTAAACAAGGTAACTTTCTGATGTTAAAAACAAGGAAAAAAAAAAAAGAAATAGGAAAAAAGGGACCTACTGTGCTAATCTGGAAAGAAGTTTACTTGACAGCTCTTAGAATATACATACCTGGAAGGTCCCAAGGTTCACATTTATTGAGATCAACATCAACAATAGCCTTGGACGTAAAGCTGGTATCGGCGACCTTGCGGGTGAGATAAAACGTGATGAGCTCTTCATCTGTTGGGTGAAATCTGAATCCAGGAGGAAGATTATTAACATCGTCCATATTTTACAATCCTTCACCAAGACAAGAGGTGACAACCGGTACAAAAGTACAGATGCTGAGAGCTTATAATGACACCCGGTGGCGTGCACTTGCTGTACTAATAACTCACCCTTGAAGATGAAGCCGCATCCGTGGCCACCCTTTTTTAAATCCTGACAATTACAGCTAACATTTTGACAAACCGCACTGAGGTTTTCCGATTATCAATACCGAAAAAACCTAGCAAAACTGTAGAATTGACTTTGGAGATTCAGACATTTCGACGAAGATTACAGACATAGACTCCCTTAATTTTGGGTGAATTATAGTGGCAAAAGTTTGAGCACGAGGGTTGAGTCCTTGTTACACAAATTAAATTAATTATAAGAGTAGTATAGTACATTTTTTTTTCTTTCTATATAAACTATGTTCAACCACCTTCACCCATTCCTACCCACCGGAACCCTAATCCAATGAGAACACAACCTTAGACACTATATCATCAATATATTATCGACAGTTGTCGGCATCTTTCATCATCAACCTCTCCGATCTCCCCAAGTACTTGCTAATTAAGTGGAATGTGTCAATTTTTTCTTATATTAATCTATTTCTTAACAAATTTTGTGATTATTTCCAATGATAGATAATGTAAATTAAGGGTTTTTTAATACAACATGGTGCATTATGCAGCCAAATATTCTCAGCAAACTCCTTTTTTAATTAATGAAAAATGATTAGATCTTTAATTAATTTATATTTCTTGGGTGATTAAGATTTAATTAAATTAATCTCAGCTACTAATCCAAGTTTAGGTATACAAAAGATCGTGATCTCAGGGCCGGCAAGGGAGAGAATATTTGCTAATTGACACTCGAAGATCGATTTTATGATTAAAATTTGATTAAAGAAAATGAGGAAGAAAACTTTACTAAGAGTGGTTAAAAGGGTCACCAACCCACACGACTGCGTAGCCTTGGTAAGCATTTGTGTTGAAACTTAATTTTGAAGTGTCCAAATGTCAATCCTAACGACAACTTTTAGCCTATGTCTGCATTGCGGTTTCTAGAAACACGTGCATGTTTCTCCTTGAAAAGGCTTCTTCTGGGTAATTGGTGCCGCCTTTTTATGGCAACAGGAGCCGTGTAATGTTGGAATTAATCTTAGGTATTTTAACTTGCCGGGTACATTTTGCAATAAAAATATTGCATTTGATGGATAGAAATTAGTAGTAATCTTTTTATACATTAGAAGTTAGTTGTTAAGCGTTGCAAAGGTTTGAACTCAAATTTTAACCTTAAATCAAGGTTTTTTAATTAATAAGTACAAATTTGACCAAATTTTTGTTAGTATGGATACAAATTAATTTATATTAAAGTTGATGGTTTGCTTTTGAATAAATCAAAGAGATATAGTGCCCGTTCAGTGTAGCTGGAGTTTTTAATAGAAGTTATGTTGAAAATAAGATATTGTAGAAGTGCTATTTTTGTAAACAAAAAGAAAAATGAGGATAAAATAGGTATAATATGTTAATTTCATTAAAATCCAAATGAGAAACTTTTGTAGAAACACCAATTTGGTGCTTCTGAAATTTGCAATGAAATGGAGAAAAGGCTAGCTTGTGAGAAGTTGTAGCATTTTTCTCAAATTGTAATGTTTGGTGTAACTTGTGCTTTTGAAGCCAAGAAGTCCTTCTCACAAGCTGCACCAAACAGACCAATACTTAGTATGATGTGAGAGAGTTGACTAATATATGATATCACTTAACTGCTAGTATATCAAATAATTACACCCCTAGTTGCTCATCTCTCCTTCTCCCTAACTTGGCCCTTGCACCTATTTTTGCTTTCTCTTTGTCCCTAGCCCCTTTCTCTATCCCTTTGCTCAATGGGTAGGAAGCATGAATAAAAGTTTGATTCTCTTTCTTTGGGTTTATCTCTTATTTTTGCGGGAGTTTCTCCCACTTCTAGGGGTGGCCTTAGTTCTTTTGATGTATTTTCATTAATTTTTGCTTGTAGCGAAGGAGGAAGATAGCACAAATAGGGATGGCACTAGGAAATAGGTTAAGGGGTGAAATTTAAAATTTACAAAATAAGTTTGTTGAGGTAGGGGGTTGATGAGTCAGCAGTGATGATGACATGGAAGCTGACTAAGATACCCCTTTACGGGAGATAAAGAGGGTTTTTTTGGCTTGCACCCATTTCATGTGCAAAAGGCTATGTGCCACGGGCCATCTCCCTCTGTCCAACGAAGATGGTCTACTTCGAGTTCTCTAACAAAGTTTGAAAGTGTAACTTCCCCAACCAAGCTAAGAGAGCCAGATAGCAATGACAGAGTTTCAAGAGCTAAGAGCAATTACACAACTACCAAAAATAATGAAAAGAAGATGTAAATTATGGTTGGAGCAATGAGGATAGAAAAAATATATAAAGATCAAATGTTACAACTTGAGAAGTACATTTATATAAAATATATTGTAGAATAATAATAAACACAGTAGATGTACCCTCTACTATCCTTAGCAAATACTCTCACTCTAAAATAACCAACCCTCATGTTGCGGTTAAAAACACCAATAATCTTTCTCAAGCTTCCACAAAACAAGAAGGAGTAAACTTGAAAGTAGTGATGGGAGAAGGAAGGATGATTGTTGTGAGGGCTTTTGAATGGAGGACTTGATCCTGTGTCTTGACACCAACTTTGTTAGTTGATCCTTTTTTGCCCAAGAAAGACAACCTAGAATCTTAGGGCATGTTTGGATCAGCTCCTAGGAGCTTCAGCTTTTGGATACTATTCATGTTTCATGCATTTAAATTTCCCTATTAAAAACTTACACTTTAAAATATTTTTTTAACTTTAAAATATTTTTTTAATCTTAGAAAGCTCTTAAACAATAAAAGTTCAAAAGTTTCAAATCCAAACTTTTTATAAACTCCCTTTTTACTTATTTTTCACTCACTTTTTTACCTTTCTAAAAGCTAAAGCTCTATTTTCCCTCCAATAAAAATTCAAACTTATCACTCATAACAGTACTCAAAAAGTAAAAGCTCTCACAAGCCACACCAAACAGGCTCTTAAACTATAGCACAAAGTCCCCCAGCTATGACTTGCTACAAGTTTGGAGTGTGTTTTGTATGTATGGTTGGAAGTGTAGAAAATATGAAAAAAAATGGAGAGTTTTGGGAAATTTTTGTAAGTAAATCAAGAGGTTAAAGAAGAAGAATTCTTTAGAGGAAAATTGTGTTTTCTACGTGAATAACCTATTGGATCTCTGAAGGGTGAAAAGATAATCATGAAAATGAAGAAAAAAATCATATACATGCAGTGGCAGTTTGGTAATTTGAGTTGGTGGTCCAAAGTAGCCCAATGAATCAACAGTTAGATTTGGGTGGTGTGAGGATAGGTGTCAAGCTTTAGGTGGATTTGAGCACTGCTAATAGTTTTTAGAGTGCAATAATGATTGTCCAATGTCTCTAATAGAGGACTACTGGTTCGTTGAAGGCTTCCCATTCTTAGTAACCCTCTGTCCATACAAAATATCATATTTGGTATGTTATTGAGTACCACCATCAAAACCACCTTTGTCCAAGATTTTAATGATTTTCTAGAGCAAAATATAATCTTTTTCACTAGTTTCTCATGCACTGAAACTTGTGTAGCCTTCCATGCATTAAACACAACTGCAGATTAGTGATGGAGACTCAAATGGTATCTCTAGTTGAATTTTAATGAGGTTACAGACCTTCTAGTTAGCATTAAACAATGTAGATTTGGCATCAAGTTTTGCCTCCACATATTTGTCGCCCAGCCTTTCTTAGCAAAAACGAGTAACAACGCCAGCTCAGCAAGCGAGCATGTTATCCATTTGTGCCTGCCAAGCCATTATTCCCATAATTTATCCTAAATAATCCCCATGAGTTTGGATTCATAGGTTTGTGTTTATTTGCACCAAAGAGCAAGATATGAGTGAGTATTTGTTCAAATATATAAGTATGAAATGTATAATTATGTGTAGCAAAGAAAAACACTCCTTTGTCTATCAAAGGGAATGATAAGAATAATCATTGATGTGCCTCTTTATCCACTAGCTATAAGAGGCACTTGTATACTATTCCTATATAAGTTTGTGGATGTGCCAAGATAGAGAATGAATGATATGGATGTGTGATGTAGTATTGTTTTATCAAGCCAAGCGATGTTAGTCAATGATGCCTACCAACACATAAAAATGTAGAAGAAATATGTTGTAGATTAGCATTACCAACGATCAGTATTTTTGTTCCTCTGTATAGAAAGAATGATGATGTGCATGATAGTCAACCATGTTAAATATCGCTGGGTTAACCAAGAATAGCTTTCCCATAACTAGATGGACAATATTGGTTAGTTTTACCCATGGCTGGAGCATGAATCATGTGGAATTGGAAGAGCATTCCCAACAATTTGCCAAGCCACAAAATGGATAAATCTCATATATCCAGAACTTTAATATAGTGATGAAAATATGATAAAAATGGGTGGAGTATTGGCCATGGAAAGGAGATTACCAACCATAGTCATAACCTTTGATACGAGTAAGGTGTGATACCACAATAAAATGATGGCCCTTCTTGCCATACTTGCACTATCAGAGGATGGTTCCAGTTGTTTTTGCTTGTCAGGCACTGTACCACCATGCACAACGGACCACCAAGGAGCTGCCGGCCACAACTTGATGGATTTTTATCGTTGAAGGGTAGCCATCCCAACCAATTGCACAGTTGCAATTATTATTGGCCTCACATTAATCATACCCAGTTGCTTTGCTCTTTGTTCGTTTTTGGGAGCCAATAAAATAAAATATGTAGAGATTCGACCCTTTGTCCATTTCTAGGAGCTGATGTAACGATGTGTAGAAATATGTAGCTTTTTGCCCATTTATGGACGCTAAATAAAATAGCCAGTCTAACCCTTTTTCTATCGCTAGGAGCTGTATAAATGTAGTAAAATTAGCCCACTATCTATTGATGGGAACCAATAATAGAAATATATAGAATAAATGTTTGGCCTTTTATCCATCGTTGAGAGTTATGTAGTTATGATAAAATCAACTCATTGTCCTTTGATGAAAGTCATGTATATATAGCAAGATAGGCTATTTATCCATTACTAGGAGCTAATTGTAGCAACAAACATTTCAGTAGAAGTCATGTCTATCAAAAAACGTCCATCTATATTGTAAAGATAAATGTACCTGTGTCTAGCCATGTATATGAGAATGGTATTCAAGTAGATCATGTTTGCCATATTTCTAGCGAAGTAGATGAATCCCACTTCTAACAATGCTGACTCTGCTATAGTCATCAGCAAAAAATAAAATATAACAGATTTGATATGGAAATAGATCATGTGGGCCATTTTTAGTCACAAGTCCAAAACTAGTCTTACTAACATGGCATTGCACATGTTGGGAATTCCAAGGCAATACACGAATTCATCCCTCAACAAATTTATTACAATTCACAAATATTTTTTTACATCACAAACTAAAATAATGCATAGAATCTGTGTCTTCAATTTAGAAAATTGCACTATAACTGATATGATGTTATGAAATAAATGTGGCTATTACACCTTTTTATTGCCATTAGCATGGATGTTATTTTTCTTTCTCTTAATAGATGAGTTGCATTGAAATGCATTATGGGTATGCATTCTCTAACTAACAACCATTACCTCTCATTATCTCTCCTCCATATAACGAATGACAAATAATTCATTGAGACTTATTGGTACATTTATGCCTTAAACATTTCCAATGGAAATTTTTTATATTGTTATATTGTAGACTTTAATTTGAGAGTTACAATTCCTTTATGTATAAACAGTACACTTTATGTGAAATAAAAGAAGAGATTATGAAGTTCTTTTCCTTCCTTTGTTGTTGCTTTTACAATTTCTATAGTTCTTGTTTCTTCTATTGTCATATAATTTACAACATATCGTTATTTATTCATAAGTTTTTCAATGAATTACCATTTAATAATGATCATCATATTCAATGAGAAATTATATACTTTGATTTAATACATTGCACAATATATTCATTCAAAAATCATTATTTTCTGATATGAAATTAAAGGTAAATAAACTTCAAAATGCAACTATGCATGCATAAAGGATGCATGAACTAGTTGTATTTACATTAGATTTGAATAGTTAAATCAAGACGAGCGTTGTGTAGTGTATTGAACCAAAAGTGTACCAGTCATTTTCCTATATTTTAACCATATGAAGTTTGCTGAATTGGTGAGCTTTTTTACTTCTCATAAGCTCCCCCCCCTTTTTTATGTAATGCAAATTCATATAATTACAATATGATTCTATAAATTCAATGATTAACAACGTATAAGAAAGTGCAAAGTACTAAAAATATAATTAAATAACTAGAAAAAATTAGACTAAAGTCCAAAAGTGGCTCCAACTTGAAACTATTAGATTATGACATCACAATCTTTGGCAATTAAGCTAATAAACAGGTCTTTATTAATCAATCAAAATTGAATTTAGTCCCTAATTTCTTTTTGTAAATCTAAACATGTTTGTTCTTAAAAGAATATAAAAAGAAGCTGAATTAGAAGCATTCACTACAAAAAAATCCACATTTAGTGACTAAATTATTGATAATTAAATCTTTATTTTTCGTTACAAATTATTATTAGTGATAAAATTTAAATCGTTAGTAAAACCCTTGTCACTAATGCTCTTAGTGACAAATTAAACACCTGTCACAGAAAATAATTTTATAGTGATTAAAAAAATTGACATT